ATACATAGAAGAGGTGAAAATATGGAGGCCTTGTTGAAAAACAAGACAAAAGAAGAAGAACAAAATGAGAAGGAGAATGGGGACGAGGATTTGAAGATAGGGGTGACTTTGGAGGTGGAAAAAGAGGAAATAGATTTATTATGCAAGGAAAACTTTGACGATGCTAATGCTCTTAATACCCTAAGTAGAGTAGGAAACTGGGATTCTGGCCTAAGCATGCTGTCAGATAGCTCATACTCCACGTCTCATTCTTCCTTTTCTTTGACTGCTTCTTCTCCATCTCAATTGCCAAAAATTCCATCCATGCCACAAAACGAAGTCACAAACACAGAGGTCTTAGGTGAACAGCAACATATGGGACAGGCTGGACAGACCCAATCAATACTTGAAAATCATCAACTTATTTGCAGTCGGCTCCCTTGTGGAACAAATGTTTTCTCAAGGTATCCGTCCTACTTAGCTCCTGATTATGCAGCAACGACTAGCTCTCCAGCTTTTTCATCTCATCCACTTCCAATTAATTCCCACTCCGCACAGCTGTCAGAGTCCGGCTCTCCTTGCCTTCCCATGTCTTTCCTTCCATTTACCCCGATATATGCAGAACACTCGGCCGAAAAAGGACTCGATTTGACTAGATCGATAGTAGAACGACCCAGTACTAATTGTATCTCATCTCTTATTGAACGTGACTTGTTAAATACGCCAATGGAAAATGCCAGTGGACTCCATGAAAGAAAGGAGTCTCCTCATGCAGACCTTCCTTGTCAGTCAGGCACACAGAATCATCTACATTTTGAACATCCTTCCATTCCCGTGACGACCAAAAGTGAGCGATCCTCCTCCGCCTTTAGAGCCTTTAGTGGACAGGATATATATAAGGAAAGGTCAATTAGAGCAAGCTCATATTCCTCTGCTATCTTTAAAGAAAAGGATAGCAACAGCTTTGATGATATATTTAATAGCATCAACCATAATCCCAAACAGGAGGAGTATGGCGAAATAAGAAGTCCCGCAGATCGTGATCATCTTCTTCAAGCTTTAGTTGAGCGCCTTCGTACAGCAATTCTAAACAGTGTAGAGGCGAGTTTGAAGGATTTAACAAATAGGCTGAGAAAGCACGATTTGCCCGACCATGCATGGATTAACCTTTTGGCAGGACTGGAAACATTCCTTAAACAAGCCAAACCAGATGAGGTTGGAGTGATTCCTCCTTTGGCCAGGATTTTGAAAGAATGTGCTACCGTAAATAATTCCTCAAATTCTAAAGATGTCTTGATATCCCCGTGCGGCCAAGATTTACAAGAAAACACTGAACTTAAAACCATTCACAAAGCTTCAATGGATATAGAGACATCTAGCTGGTCATTAGCTAGTCATGGAATAAATAAAAAAGTTGAGAAGGAAAATGTTGCCTGCAGTTCACAAATAACTATGAACTCTAGTACTCCCAAGTTGATTTGCTTACTTGATGCTGAACGCATAAAGGAACGCTGTCTAATTAATTTACGTAGATCGCATACTCGTGCTTCTTCAGCGTACAATCGCGAACTTCGTCTCCGCAGACATGGAATTAGATCAAACATCCGTCGCGCACGGACGAAGCAACACAATTCAGATAATTTTACTACCCCTCAAGAAGAAGATTCTGCCCCACAAAGGCATATAAATGATTTTCCAGAAGAAGTTAGACCAGCTCTCCTTTTTGCAGATCTTGGACGAACAGAACATATTAATGCATTCGATGGATTCGATCGTAGCAGCATGTCTGAATCGTTTCAAGACAATCTAAGACAACAGGCTAATCCAGCAATTTCTGAACATGGAATTAACAATAAACGAGTAAGAGCCTGCTAAATAATTGATTAATACATACTT